AATCTATACAAGAAAAAAATGGAACAGAGTTTATGTGCGAATGATTGCATCGTTAAAATTTCATCGAGAAGAACTGTGAAAGCGTCTCTGATTAACCTGATAGAAATTGGTTCCACGGCTTCTAAAGTATCTGAATGCTTGCGTGAGATCGTCTCAATCTAATAAATTCATGAAGAAATATCGTCCGCGTTCTCACAGGCTCCAGTGGAATATCCAAGTCAATTCTTACCGCTTCCGTGTGATCCCTCGACCGCAAATCAACTAGAATATCATACTAGAATATCATTGTCATTCCATTCATCACACAAACGTTCCTTGTTCTTCACTTCCATAAAATCATCCATTTTAATTTTTCCAAATAATTCTTTGTTAAAGTGCTGTCTTAATTTAACTATCAATTGCATTAATCTTTATATGGCGAAAACAGATTTTTGATATAATAGGTTGTTTGTTCTTTTCAAAATAGACGTTCTTTATTATTATAATAATAAAAAAAAGGAAAATATTGTAGTATTATAGAAATATATATTCTAGTTTAAAAATATATTCATCTAATTTTCGATGCTCTCGTATTAAGATTATAATAATTACTAATTATTAAGAATAATTTTAATTATTAAGATTAGAGTAATTAAGAACGTTCCCAAATTTCAATTAGTAATTTCAATTCAGTACGATCTAACATAAATTGATAATTAATAGATTAACTTACATTTTCCATAATATAATTTTAAAATGAATATTAATATAATAATATTAATTTTAAGCTCACAATTCTTAGGTAATATAAAGGATCAAATTCGTCAAACTGTAAATCACTTTTCTAAATCATAATAACACAGATATACAAATTCTCCAAACTACAAATATTGATTTGAATGTTTTACTAAAGAATTGGATTCATCAAATAATAATTTTGGACAGACAAAATAATTTTGATCGATAAAAATTCGATAATTTCGATAAATAGATAAAGATTTAAATTTATCAAAAATTACTTCCAAAGTATACAAATATAAAAATTCTTCCAATAATAAACATTTATTTTTGATAATAATTTATCTATAGCTGATTCATTTCAAAACATTTTTTAAACAACAAAAATTAACTTTATTAAATAAATAATTAGTATCAAGCATCAGTTTTCTACTTTATCAGCATAAATCAAAATAAAATAAAAATCAAATACAAAATTCTTTGAGCTATGAAAGTTTATACTTGATAATAGAAGCTTCAATTCATTAAATTATAAATGGATTCTAAATGCATATTAGAATATATAGATATAGAAATTCTGTAAATCACAAAAATCAATTTGAATAATAGAACATTAAACTCGCGGAATTGTAATTCAGTCCAGTACAAGTAAATAAATTCGTCGAATAATAAAAATAAATTTTATCAAATACGAATGCATATTTATCAAACAATCCTTTCTTTCTCTACCTTATACAGGATATTTAGCCAATTTCTTTCGCAAATTGTAAATAAAAAGGAAAAGAGGAAGAGGAAGAAATAATACTGTCTTTTGTAAGTAATATGATATATGAAATTTTTTTGTATTTGCACTACTTTTTTAGAAATGAAGGTGACTTTTAATTTTTTTAAATAGATTAGATAAAGTCAAAAAAGACAGAAAACTTTCAAATATTTCGTAATATTTTGTTCATAAATGGAATATTCTCAATATGTAAGAGATATTCATAAAATACTTAAACTTTTTTTTTTGTTTTTGACCTTGTATGACTTTATATAAAGGTGATTTTTTATAAATTGAATTTGTGTTGATATGCTTTTATATGATATAAAAAAATATATAGCATTCTATTTACAAAATTGAAGATCACTTTCATTTCTAAAAAGATAATGCAAATATAAAAAAACTTTCGTACAAAAAACGGTACATACTTTTTTTTCTTTCATTTTTTTTTTTTTT